TGAGTGATAGAATCTTATAATGTGTTGTTCTTGTTATTAATAAGGTCTTTTATGTTTATAATTTTTCTGATGTTGAACTAACCTTCATTTCTGGTATAAATCCTGATTTGTGATAACATATAATCTTTTTATATGTTGCTGTAGCCTACCTTGTTGCTAACATTTTGTCTAAAATTTTATGTTCATGCTAATTAAATATTGATTTGGTAACCTTTTTTTTTTGTTTTGTCTCTCCCTGATTTAAGCATCATCACCGTATCTGTATCATAGGAGCAATTTAGTGGGATCTCTTGTGTTCCTATTAAAAAAAATAGTTTGTATACAATTAAAACTAATTTTTCTTTTAATTTTTCATCGAATTCAATTGTAAATCCATCTAGTCTGGAGCTTTTTTTCTGAGTGTTCAATTATAGCTCATTCAATTTCTTTTTCTGGTATTGGGTTGCTTTAATGCTCTTATTCCATTGATCTGAATATTTTATATTTTAAAATTATTCATACATTTCCTTTAAGTTTTCAGTTTTAAAGGCAGATAGAACTAATAGTTTATAATAATTTCCTTTATTTCCTTTTGTTTTGAGTTCTTCATTCTCATTTTTGATTCTAGTGATTGAGTTTCCTCTTTCTTTTTTAAAAATTAAATTAGAGAAAATGCTATCCACATCCGGAGAAAAAACTATGGCGTCTGAATGAGGTTGAAAAATACTACTTTCTCTTTTTTTCTTTCTTGATTTTTCCATTTGTTTCTGACTCTTCTTTCACAACATGACTAATGTGGAAATACATTTAATATGATTAGCATGTATTGTATATATCAGATTGCATGACATCTTGGGTAGAGGGGAGAGAAGAGAGGGGAAAAATTTAGAATTCAGAATCTTATAAAAGTGAACGTTAAACTAAAAATAAATAAATAAATTTTATAAAAGAAATTGTAAAGCCCTTAAATTTAAATTAAGACCCTTGGAAAGTGGGGTTCAACGTACTGAGCATACTGCTAAAAATATAAGGCAATAATTAATCAATTAATTGAAGCAAGTACAAGAAGTCATTTTGAAATTCAAATGCAAAATTTAAAAATTGAGCATTTAACAGAACAATTAAAGCAAACGTACTGTTTTGAGAAGACCAAGAAAACCGGCGAATCAGTGATTTGGTTTTTGTGAGGAAAACTCTTTTCAGAAAGGAGAAAACATAACAAATGAAGAGTAAATTTTCTTTCCTAAAAGAATTATTAGGTTTTTTTACTCCCAGATAGATGCTAACAATACTGAAGATTATAATTAAATGGGAAAGATTAAAAAATTAATAAAATAAAGAATAAATAACTGAAACAATAAAATATGAGAAATTGAAAACTCCATAAAGCTCTTTCCATGGTAAATTCTAATCAAGAATGATATTGACTTAAAAGTGAATTCTAGTAAACATTTAAATATCCAATAATTATCATTCAACAAAGAAAAAAAACTATTTTCAAAAATGAAAATGTCAATTCATCAAATTCCTTCTATAAAAACATGCACTTAGTACACAAACAAGGAGAATGTAAGATAGAAAAAATGAACCAAAGATAAATAACTTATCAATACTGATATAAATATTAAGTGAAATCTTGGAATTTATGTAATTATATCCCCAAAGTTATTCATTATGACTAAGTTGCATTGACACCTGCAAAAAATGTTTTATTAGAAAAACAATGACATGTAAATCATAATGATTATAAAAAACCCTAGACATGTTTTATCAACGGGGGTTGGAAAAATTGAGAAATTCAGCACTCATGTTGAAAACTCTTAAAGAGAGGAACATATGAGTTTTTCTTCACTATATTCATAAGAAAAACTATTTAAAACCAAATATTACCATTATTTGCAGCTAAGCTCTCTCACTGAGACCAAGGGAAAAGCAGGAATGCATAATATTATTATTAATACTTGTCAAAGTCCTAGAAATACAACATGTAGCAATATGATAATAAAAAAAATTGAGGAAATGAGAACTGGAAAATAGGAAACAAGGTATTTGTAGAATATAAGTTGTTTTTACTAAGTAAATCCAAAATAATTGATAAAAATTTATTGAGACAACTTGAAATAGAATAGCATGATAAATGAAATCCACAAAATCAGTTCCTACATATGAATAACAACAGGAAAGTAGATCAAAAAAGAAATGGTGTTTAAGGTAGTAACAAAATGCATTAATTATTTGAGATTTAACTCACCAATATACAACTGGTGTTTACAGAAATACAAAAATAATTTCCATAGAAATAAAGATGAATTAAATAACTAGAGACATATTCAATATTTAAGTATTGTCTATGTTAAACTAATAAAGATAATGATAGTAAAAAACACTAATGTAAATTTAAAATAATTGACAGAATTTTAATTCAAATGAGACACAAAAGAATTAGACAAAATAATGGCAAATTTCATATGATGAAAGGAAAAAATAGCCAAAAGTATCATTGAAACAGAGACAAACAAATGAAACAAATTAAAAAAAACCCCTAATAATGGAGAACAACTGGCATTTTCAAATTTAATATGTGCATATCATATTTCAATAGAAAGTACTCTAAATTTTGAGTCTGAAGACCAATATTTGAATTGTTATATTACTATCTCTGTAACTGTGCACAATTCATAAATTCTCTGGTCTTCGGTTTCCATATCTGCAAAATGAGAGAAATGTTATTTAAACTCTAATAAAGTTTACATCTCAAAAAAATTAAATTAGATATTGGTTGACATCTTTATGTTTTCCTCCAACAACTCTTTATTCAGTGAGGTTTTTTTCTTCTTTGTTTAGGAGGGGTGTTTCATTTTTGGTAATCTCTTGTCTGATTTTTCAGGATTTTTATTTAGGTCTTTAATAGAGGATAAATAAGTGGCTTTCAGAAATTTTTTCCCTCCAGAAACTATGATGGAGTGCATAGTGGAAGAGGTCGAATTACCATATGTGGAGTATTACCATCCTACTCTTGCCAAAAAACAAAATTTAGTGGTACCTTATATTTTAACTCCTTCCCTCATTAATGCATTCCTTTATTCAACAAGAGTCATCCTGAAGGAATTTACAGTTTGTTGGGGTTGACAGTTGGTAGATCAACATATAACTATAGAATTGTGTGTTTGTGTGTGTGTAGTGTGTGTCTATGTAACATATTAACATAAATTCCCATGAATCCAAATGGTGCACAAGATAAAGGGTCTAACTTCTTTAAAACCTTAATGAGCCCGGCTTTAGTATTATACATGGTGAGGAGAATATTTTCCTTTGGATGCCAATAGGATAACTAGTCTAAGTATCTTGATTCCATGTTGACAGGAGGATATAGATGGCTCATGCTCCCATGTATCTTCTTGAGAGCTCAGTTTGGGGCTGTAACCCTCTGATCTCATACTTTCCCTTCATTCTCTGAATCATGTAGTAAAGTCCTAGAGATGGTGGCTGCATAAAACATTGCTCAAGAGAGAAATTCTCAGAAGCAAGGTTAGAAGAAAATGGGAGAAGTCCCAGGTGTAAATTTAAAGACCGAGTAGAAGATTGAATCCCTTAGGAGAAAAATGTTAGTTCCATGGTACAGTGTATAAACATGGACATTGTAATCACTGCTCCCTGAAGAGTCTGATTCCATGGAGAGAACATGCTGGATCCTCACTGTGTTTTCAATATAGTCCATGAGGATATTATATCCAGAATAAAACCTTCAGTTTCCTATCACATGATTATTGGTGACACCTCAAGGCACTATTTCCTCCCCTAAATCTGGAGCACTCCTCAGGTGAAGTCACAGTCATAACCTGTGATCTTTATAACTCAAAACATCTCTCAATTCAGTGCAGAGGCTGAGGTTTATGCTCTGATTGCCTCAATAGGAAAGGGAACAGAAGAGAGAGAATCTCAGAACACCCTTATCAGAATTGTTTCTCCTTCAGGATCTGGGGGCTCAAAACCAGTAAAGACCATTACTGAAGTGACTAGGTAGAAGAAGGTGAGCATGTAAGACATTCATTTTTGATTTTTAATTCTATTTTGTCTTCCGTGCTTTGCCAACCAGGAGATTTGAGAATTCTATAAAATATCATGCCCCTAATCTTTGTCACTGACTCATATATAGGTCTTTTGGCATAGTCTAGGTGAGAGTGGGAGGAGAACGTGCAAAGATAACAGAGACCTTGGTGCCATAATTTCCTTACTTCCACAGGACAATAACTCAGAACAAGGGAGTCTGGATCCAGTCTACAGGCAGCTGGGTGGTTCAATGGATAGAATCCTAGTCTTTAAGTCAGAAAGATCTGAGTTCAAATACAGCTTTAGGCCTTCAAGCTGTGTGACCTTGGGCAATGTCATTTAATCTCAGTTTCCTCAACTATAAACTGAAGATAAGAATAACAACTTCTTCCCAGGGTTGTTATGAGGATCAAATGATGTAATATTTGTAAAGGACTTAGGGCAGTGTCTGATGCACAGCAGGTGCTATATCAATGCTCACAATGGTTATTTTTTCTTACTAATAACAACCTTATTGATAATATAGTTAATATATCTTTATTATTAATCACAATACTTTTACCATAGGCATTTTCAGAATTCTTTGAGGTACTAATTCATCACCTCTGAAGTAGAGACAATAGATAAAGTTTTTACCTGAGGTGGCCAGCACAGGGTGGTGCATGGGAAAACTACTGTCATTTTCCTGGTTTCTTTTTGCTTTGGAGTCTGAAGAACATCAACTGTTATTCTGCAGGGGAGCTCTGGAACAGTTTTCTACCATCATTCAGCTCATGGAGACAGTTACTCAGCCCAATCAAAATCTCTGGATATCTTAGGCATGATAAGAACGATTCTACGTGGTATGGTGATGATGGGTTTTAGACACTACCAGAATTGTTCCTTTTTCATAACTGGGGAAGAGGGTTTGTTGAATTTATTTTGCTTCTAGCATGACTTTTTCCCTCTCCTTACAGATCCCTCAAGAGAGAATGGCTTTGGAAAATGCCTCCTCAGTGACTGAGTTCATCCTTGCAGGCTTAACAGATCAACCAGAGCTCCAGCTACCCCTATTCCTCCTGTTTTTGGGGATCTATGTGATCACTATAATAGGAAATCTGGGATTGATCATTTTAATCAGGATGAATTCTCAGCTTCACACTCCTATGTACTATTTCCTCTTCAACCTATCTTTCATAGATCTCTGCTATTCCTCTGTCTTTAGTCCCAAAATGTTGATGAATTTTGTCCTGACGAAAAACATCATCTCTTATTCAGGGTGTATGGCTCAGCTCTATTTCTTCTGTTTTTTTGTTATTTCAGAAAATTATGTGTTGACAGTAATGGCTTATGATCGTTATGTTGCTATTTGTAATCCATTGCTGTATACTGTTACCATGTCCAATCAGATTTGTTCATGGCTATTGGGTGGGGCATACGTAATGGGGTTTGCTGGTGCGATGGCCCACACTGGATGCATGCTGAGATTGTCTTTCTGTGATGCTAACATCATAAACCATTACATGTGTGACATACTCCCTGTCCTCCAGCTCTCTTGCACCAGCACCTATGTCAATGAGCTGTTGGTTTTCATTGTTGTGGGCATTAACATCATAGTGCCTAGTGTCACCATCTTCATCTCTTACGCTCTCATCTTGTCCAGTATCTTGAACATCAGCTCCGCTGAAGGCAGGTCCAAAGCCTTCGGCACCTGTAGCTCCCACATAATTGTGATCACTCTTTTCTTTGGGTCAGCTTCCTTCATGTATTTCAAACCATCTTCATCAGGGTCTGAGGACCAGGGCAAAATATCTTCAATCTTTTACACAAATGTGGGGCCCATGCTAAACCCCCTCATTTACAGTCTGAGGAATAAAGATGTTAAGGCTGCCTTGAGGAAAACCTTGAAAGAAAGAATATTTTCCAAAACAAGAGCAGGATTTTCATAATGTGAATTGAATTCAAAGTCCTAATGTTCCTTTTCTTTCCTTGGTTAATTAAAATGATCTCAGGAAATAATCTTTACCCAAATTCCTTTCACTTCATTTTCTATTCCCCAACATTCTACCAGCATGACTTATTTCTTTTGCTTTAAAGAGGCAGTGGAAAGTGCTGGCTTTAGAGTAAGAGGATCAGGTTACAAACCCTAGGTGTTCTTTCTCTGTGACCTGGACAAGTCCCTTAACCTTTGTGGGCTTCAAATTTTTCATTTGCAAATTTGGAAGTGTTTGGACTATGTAGCTTCTAAGATCCTTTATAGCTATAAATCTTTGCTCTATGACCTTTGTGAAAATGCAAATACCCCAGGAATCATTCAATAAATTATATTGTAATTGTGGTAGATCTTTCATTCACTGCCCATTGTTACTGATTGGTAATTCAGGAAGGCAGTACATGAAATTACATTGCTGACAAAATAATAATAAAATGCCCAAATGATGTAGACATAATACAACCCCTTTACCCCATTCCCTCTGCCTCAGGCAAGTCAAGCATAGCTAACCTTAAAGCCCTTTTTATAACTACACTTTTGTTCTCAAAATTGTTATCAAAATTGGATAGATGCAGAAAAATATAATTTGTCCTTAATATGAAAACATAAAGTAATTTTATTTCATATTTTCCCAGACCCAAACCACTTTGCTTTTAGGCACAACTGCTTCTATTAGAAGATGATACAGGTGTTTTCTGACTCCCACAATATATGTACAATAGGGCTGATCTCGCTCAAAACAATACTTAAACATTCCCAGCATAGTGTAAATGCAAGTCTATTTACAACTATGACAGGATGAGAAATAGACACCTAAGGGGTACCAATTTTGAGGAAAACATTTTCAGTGTCCGAAAAAATTGCTAGCAGGAAACATTACTATAACAGTTATAATATGATAAAGATTTGAGCATGTTGATTTGACTTATAAACCTTTTCTGAGGGAAGTTTTCTTTCCTTTCTCAAATTGACTGAACCTTCATAATGCAAAAGGCATTTTTTTGGTGTTATGTCCTATGACATTTACAGGGCGGTTAGGTGGCTCAGTGGATAGAGTGCTGGCCCTGGAGGTAGAAGAACCTGAGTTCAAATCTCGCTTCAGACGCTTACTAGCTATGTGACCCCACTGGGCAAGTCACTTAACTTTGTTTCCCTCAGTTTCATCATCTGTGACATGACCTGGAGAAGTAAATGGCAAACCTTGCCAGTATCTTAGCCAAGAAAACCCAAAAGCAGCCACAGAGAGTCAAATGTGAATGACGATTATCAACAAAAATAGGAATAATAATACTACTTCAAAATGCTGTCATTAGATTCACTGATAAAACATAAGAGAAATGTTTGACAAACTTTAGAACTACCTAAATGATGTTATTATTTATCTATTTATACATTAATTTTCCTTCTATCTTTTCCAATGGGATCAAATAAAAATAGTATTGAGACAAAGTCATCATCCCACTATATTTTTGTAAAGAATGTTTTACATACTCGAGTTCAGGTAGCTGAAATAATTGCTTTTTGTAGTTAAGACAAAGGATGCAATCCCATTCTCTGCAAGGTTGTTAAAAGTATCTCCAACACAACTCTAGTAGCAGGCAGAGCAACCAGGATGTTATATGACTCTTTCTGTTCTCATACGTTTCTAATTTTCTCTATTAGGCATTTGTGTTTTTAAGACTCATTCCATGTAACTTGGAGATTATGGGTATTTAATAGAGCAACATCAAAAATTTTTTTGGCTCAAAACCATATCTGGTCAGTTGTGACTGTTCAGTTCTGGTACAGTTTATTAGTTACATTCTCCTTAATAGTGTGAGATATTTATTTGCAGGACAGCGATTTGTCATTTTTCAATCCATAAGAGGTAGTAGGCCTCTCATGTATGATTCTAGTCGCCAGGTCATGTCTTGTGAGGTATTCTGCAAGAGCTAAACTTTTACATCTTTCAATGATGAATTTCACTTTTTCCTTTCATAATTTGCATTTATCCTTGGGGATAACCCTTATCTAATTTCTGATAACAATGATGCAATCCTGAATTTCCTTCTCTTTCCATAACCAAATATACATAACTACAGTATTTATTCAATACTTATTTGTGCATATGTCATTGGAGGAATTTATAGGTGTATTTTACATGGAAGATCTTTTGGTTCCATCATTAGAAAGCTATTGAAATAGCTCTTTCATAGGTTCTGTCTGGGGGTGACCCATTTTCAGTTACAATAATTCAATAATCTAGTGGAATATCTACTTATTATCTTTACTATTTATTTAATACTTATTTACTATTTAATATTTATTACTTGATGAAATGATCTTTACCTCTGTGGTTTTTACTTGTTTATTATGTACTTTAAGAGTGTCTGTCAATCTTCTTACTCCTTTTTTTTTGGCATGGATATCTTAATCTTTCTATAAGTCCCATAGAATAATGATGCTTATTTTTCCATTAAAATTGCATGGATTTTTGTGATGATACTTTCAAAAACTTTTATAGTCTATTTTAAAATTCAGAAGTATGTATTAAGTTTCATATTTCATAGATATTAATTGCTTTAAATATGGTCTTCCCATTCAGCTTTGACTTTTGGGTGCCAGTAATCTTTTCAAATATTTAGTCATAGCTTTCTCCTTGATATCTTTGTGCTCAGACACCAGGGTATTTGTAACTACTGCCTTCATAGATTGTACCTATGTGACCTCTGAATTCAAGCTCAACGTTTTCAAATCAATTTACATTAATTTGAGTGCAAATTGTATTCTTTGACCATTGGGAAAAAGATTGCCAAAAAAGATTGCTCTTTAATGTGTTTTCAGTAGAGCTATATAATGTGATGCCTTCCACATACATTGAGCTACTGTACATGTACATTGATATTGTACATTGAATAAATATTTTGCTTTTATTTCTTTTTTTAAACTTGGAAACTATACTTAGTTCTATCTAGGAGAGATGATAATGAGTTTAAGTCTAGGAAGAACTCTCATGGGCTTAAAGTGCTTCCCTGTAAAAATAGCCATTTTTAATTTATTTGCTTTGGATATTATTGTGTTGATGGCATGTTTTAAATGAAGACCAATTTTCCAGAAAGATTCCAAATATTTTTCTATCTGCAATATAATTATTTATTTTTATGTCTTTGTAGTAGGGAAGTCATGAGTGTAAAACTGAGTCACAGGTTTTTGCCTGATCGTACTTTGCCTGTTTTAGTAGTCAGCATCATCAACTGACCATTTCCTATTATATTGGTGGTGTTATTTCTGATTTGTTCACATTTATCTTTTCTTATTTGATACCAGAATATGAAGGAGATCTACTTACTCTGCTGCTCTACATGTCAAAATCATCATCATCATCATCATTTGTCTTCTTCCTGTTTTTCTTTCTTTTGCCAACATTGTCATTGTCATTATCATTATTAAAATTTCCTTGATGTAAGGAAAATGAGAGGTAAGAGGGAATTTCCTCAGAAACAAATGATTAACTGATCCTAATTCCAATCCTGGATTCCCAAAGGTGTAGTTCCCATATCTAGAGCTTTGAAAGTTCCTCTTCAAAACATAAAGAACTACCTAAATGTGAGTCATTATTAATAGGTCATATTTAGATCTCTTTAAGGTTTCCAAAATACTGCCTATACTTCATCTCATTTGATCCTCACAGCAATACTGCATGGTAAATACTTTAGATATTGTCCCTACTTTACAGAGTAGAAACTCAGATTGAGTGCCCATGATCACATGGCTGGTAAGTGTTGAGAGTGGAATTTGTACTATATATTTCCTGACTCCAAGGCCAGCACTCTTTCGGTCTATGCCTCTGTTTATTGGGTTCAGGTCAAGAGATGTTTACTTCCTGTCCTTGTTTCAAGAAAGCATATTTGCCCACATAATCTCTTATCTAGGGACATGTCAAATGTCATGTAAATCCTGGACCTTTTATGATGATCTCTGTTATTTGCTGTCTAAGTTCTACATAGCCTTTATCCTTTACAGAATTTGATCATATCATCTAAATAGAAGTTTTATCCAAGGATGCACAGATTTCATGTATCTTAAGTCTTTGCAATAGTTAGGTATGTTTTATGAAGAAAAGACTTTTCATTTTCATGGCAGCCATTTCCTATTGAGGCAAATTAAAAGAGTCTCTTATATTTTCAATATCTTGGATTAAAACTACACAAAATACATTTTAGACACTTTTTGTAAATAATAATTTTAAACTCTCTGGCACTAGAAAGACTGGTCAACTTTGCAAGAACTTTTTTCATACTCACCAGATTTGTAATCCCTCTTTTTATTGCCTTTTGAAATAAAAATTGCAGCCTTAAACATGCTTTTCCAATGAGGTGTCTCTTCTAGTAATTGAATAGTTTAGTTACTGAAAGGGAAAGGAAAAAAAAGAATTTGTATAAGGAAACTGATAACATCTACTTGTAAAGGAACTCCATTTCTGAGATAAAGTGATGAGGAGAGCCAAAGATAGCTCAGAGCATGAGACAGATAACTACTCAACAGATGAACATACTGAAAGTACTGATTTGAAGTCAGAGCAATGATAGGTAACACCGGTTGTGTTCCATCTGGCCATTTGCAAGTGAATTTTTGTTTTAGAGTTTTAAAGATTATAACTGATAAAGTTCTAAATCAAATATGGGACCTATAGGGACAGTGTATAATAATTGTTAGATTTGTACCTTGTAGAAAGATGAATATTTTTGCCTTTTACTTCATAAAGTAACATGTCACTGACTCCCCGGAGGGCCTAATTAGAGACACCAGAAAATGTTAAGCAGCCAGGAAGATGTTTTGAGAAGAAACTACAGAAAGAGATAAAAAGAAGAGGCAGGAAAGTAAGCTGAATACAGAAGTCATAAAATGCTGGGAAGAGAAGGCAAAGAAGGTTTCTAGATGAGACAGCTGACTCTAATTCTTTTGTTGGAAGCTTGCTGATTCGATGACAGGCTTTGCTTTGTTGATTAATTGAAGAAAAGCTGGAAGCTCAAGGGAGGAGAGTGGAACTCTGTTGCTGTTTAACCTTACACTCCCTGACACATAGCTAACAAGGTCTGAGTGAGGATTTGAACACATGTCTTCTTGACTCCAAGGACCACATTCTAGCTGCCTCAAGGGCCTTTTCCAAGGGCTACAAATCCACTACAGGGTTGACTATGAGTGCCAGACCCCTTATTTTTGAAGCAACAGCCACAGTATATACGAGGAGCTAAGAAGCTAAACAGGAAACTGGTTTTGTAATAATTCACCTCATTGGACCCCTAATGAGTTGATTATGAATTTTCAGATAATCATTTAAAAGTGCCAATTTTTTAAAAAAGAATCTGTATACAAAACTTCAAGATACTGAGGACAATCACAAAAAGCTCTTGGTCTGCAATAAATTATGTTCCAATCTATGTACTTGGACACTTCAAGGAAAGTGTAATAATATGAAGAATAAACCATTTTGTAGATGTGAGTATAGAAAGCCTTAGAGGACACTAAACCACCTCTTTCAAAGGGCCTGAGATATCAAACATAGACACTGCCACAGGAGTCATTCCAATAATAATAGAATCCAGAAATCAGGAATGCTTCCAGGTAGATGTCTAGTTTTTAACAAGTAAATACTATACTGACAAGAATAATCAAGCCAGACTCCAGACATAAACTGACCTCAGTGAGTATATCTAGAAGGCTGGATCCTTTACCTCTAAACCTGGCCACTAGCTCTGAGGAAGGACACCTCCATCATGTAGCCCTTCAACTATAACATGGAATGTAGAGAGTCCTAGAATGGTCATGCCTGTCCAGGAAATATATTGCTTACCCAAAAGCTACTAGAGAGGCAATATCACATAGTCCTAGCTAATAGGGAAAGGTGGTTAAAAAACAGTTAAGTCACCTTATTGACTTTATAAGACTAGATAATTTAAAGATGGGAGAAACTTGGAGGAATAGTGTAGGAGTATGTGAGACTCCATAAAAAGAGACAGAGTCTGAAATATTAGTTGTTATATGTCTGTGGGTAGACACATCAGCAAAAGCTGAGAAAACATGCTAAAGCAGAGGTATTGCTACATTCTCCAACCACTGTCTCACTTTTTCAGAGTGATAGGTTTGTAGCTCCAAGCAGAAGAAAAAGAGAGCCAATATTGATAAATGGAGAAATTTGGCAGGGGGAACTGCAAAGAATAGAATACAGGTATACTGATGCACTTATGGTGGATATGTGAATATGCACAACAGTTTTGGAAAGTAATTTGGAATTAAAGAGAAAAAAATTATTAAACAGTGTGTGCCCTTTTAACCAGTTATGTCATTGCTGGGCCTATTCCCAAAAAAGAGATCAAATAAAGAAGAAAAGGTCTGTTATATTAATAATATTTATAACAACACTTTCTGTGGTTGAAAAAATATTGGAAACTAAGAGAATATTAAACAACTTGATAATGATTGAATAAATTGTTGTGTATGAATGTGGTGAAATATTATTGCTCTAAGAAATAGGCAATAAATGATTAAAAAAGACATGGAAAGACATATGAACTGATGCAGAGTGAAGTGAGTAGAACTGGACAAATTTATTCTATAACATTATTATTATTAAAATGAACAATTTTGAAGACATATAAATTGACGAAGTATGAAATGAGCAGATCTAGGAGAACAAGTTATAGAACAATATAAAAACAAACAACTTTGAAAATTGTAAAAACTATCATTGATAAAATGACAATGCATGATTCCAGAGGACTGGTGATTAAATATACTAGTCATTATGGTGAGGCGATAGGTTTATGATGTGAATGAGACATATATTTTGGTATATGGCCATTGGGGAAATTATTTTTCTTCTTATGTATATTTGTTAAAATAATTTTTTCCAATGGTGCGTGAAAAGGGGAAGAAAATAGATTTGCATTCATTTAAAAATATAAAAGTGAGGGTGTTACAGATATGATATATTCACTTTCAGATAATGTCACTATTACTAATTTTACTTTGCAGTTTTACTTGGTTACAAGAGAATTGTCATGAAGCAATAACATGTAAGTGTAATGTTAAAAAGGAAACACATCCATAAAATGTAAAGGTAAAAATTAAAAACAAAACTCTAATGTTCAAGTGAAAATAATAAAATGACTGAGATACTAGGTGTACAATTTTCAGTACTCTGCTTCTAATAGAAAAGGCAGGTTTGTGCTGACAATATTTGGGGTTTGTCATATGATAGTAGCAATACTTTGGGAAAGAAGTGGGTCTAATGGGAGAAGGGAGAAAAACTGAAATTTTCTTTCTTAAGTAAAAGAAAATAATGAACAATTTAGTCCCAGTCAATTAGTGTGGAAGGTGAATTCTCATCATCTGCTTTACCCCCACCTTCTCCAAAACCTTCACAAATTCCTAAAAGGATATGGTGCTATACCCATCCTGGTCACCCTCTTGAACTATCAGTCTTCACCCATCATCCATAGTAACAATATCATGCATAGAAGCAATTCACCTTGGGAAGTCTTGTCATCTTTATACAAGTAATAAAATGAAAAAGCAAGTTTTTATTGTCCTGGCTGTTTAATGATTCTAGTCTATTAACATCTTTGCATTTCTCATTATCTTTTATTGGTTTGAAATGAGCCAGAGTTATAAATTAATGGAATTTTATCTGGTCCGCTCCCTTAGGAAAAAGGTCATTGATTACCAAGTCTCCAAGAAAGTTGACAGTAAGCTTTGCGATCCCCTGGAAATCTGCATTGAGAGTTCCATTAACTGGCTGAGGGAATGGTGATTTGACTGTGGAAAATTCTAATTCTCTCTCTCTCTCTCTCTCTCTGTCTGTCTGTCTGTCTCTGTCTCTGTCTCTCTCTCTCTCTCTCTCTCTCTCTCTGTTTCTCTGTCTCTCTCTCTCACACACACATACACACACACGCACGCACATGCACACACATGTTCACACACAAACAACACCTCCTTCCACCAAACTTTGAGATCTGAGAACCCATCACCCCACCAGCTAAGGGAATTCTCAGGGAAGCTGGAAGGTATATGGAAGGAAAATATTAGGGGCAGAAAGGAAAAAATACCACTTTAAGGATTGCAATGACTGTGGGAAGACTCAAGGGTGTCAACCAATCAAGAGTGACGTGTGAACCCTGAATGAATCATATTCGATTGTATTTTTGAACTGAGGGGCATAGATAGAGGAGAATCAGGATGAAGTTTATGCCTATCAACAGGGAAGAATAAATGAAAAATAATTTCTAGAAAGTCCTAAAAAACATACTAATTCTGGGATTATAAACAGCAACAATAAAACATTAAGACAGTTCCTGCTGTAAAGGAGGTTACACTTTAAAAAAAAAAACATTTTCAAGATGGTGAAGTGAAGTGAAAATTTTTGTCAGGTTCTCCCAGCACAACCCTCTATGCACCTTGAAATCATGTCAAACTAAATTATGAGAAGGAAAACCAAGAAAAAGTCACAGTAAGTTATTTTTCCAACCCAAAACAGCTTAGGAAAACCTAACAAGAAAACTCTAGACACTGGTGAAGGGGCTGGTTGGGAATGTGGTAGAACAGAAGGGGCACCAACTGTGGGCCTTACAGGAAGTGATAGTGGCACCAGGAGTGCCCAGCACCCAGGGGTGGCAAAGAAACTAAACACCTGGACAGGAAAAGATTCCAAGGAACCCTTGTACTAGCACTGATCACATAATGAGACACTATTTGGCAGCTCTGTCACTCTTTACCTAGTTGTGGGCTGTAATTCCAGGACAGCGATGAGCAATTGTGGTCATGAGGGAACAAGGGTTCGCCTTGTGTAAGGATCACAACACAGACCAGGAAGGCAGTGACTAATCCTCTCCATGGATCACATCACTTTGGAGGCACCAAATATTTACAGGTGCTCGTTGAGTTTTAAAGGCAACAGAAGCTCATTAAAGACAGAAACTCAGACTAAACCTCACCTCCACACCCACAAATGAGTGGAGCCTAACTCTAATGTAGTCAAAGTCCAAAGTCAAGAAATAAGCTGAAAAAATGAGCAAATGACAAAAAAGACCACAAGCAGCTACCATGGTGATAAAAAATATCTACATGTAAAGCCTTAATGAAAAAATGCAGACTGAACATAAATCCAACAAGAATTCCTAGAAGAGCTAGAGAAAGAGATTAAAAAATTTTAAATTGATTTTAAAAATCCAAGTGGTAGGGAAAATTTGGAAAAGAAATGAAAGCAATGCATGAAGATTGTGAAAAGAGAACTAGAAGCTTGGTAAAGAGGCACAAATATATCGAAGTAAACAGCCCTTTAAAAATCAGAATTGGCCAAATGATAAAATTGGTACAAATCATCACTGAAGAAAATAACTCCTTAAAAATTAAAATTGGTCAAATGGAAGCTAAAATTTCCATGAGACATCAAGAAATAACAAAAGAAAATCAAAAGAATGAAAAAAAAAGAATGTGAAATATCTCATAGGAAAAATAACTGACATGGAACACAGATTGAGGAGGCATAATTTGCAAATTACTGGACTGAAAAAAAAAGAGCCTAGACATCATATTTCAAGAAATTATAAAGGGAAGCTGCCCAGATATTCTAGAACCAGAGGGAAAAGTATCTGCTAATCACATGCTGAAAAAATAAAATAAAACGAAAACTTCCAGGAATCTTATAGCTAAATTCCAGGAAACTCCAGCAATCAATCAAGGAAAATTATTGCAAATAGCCTGAAAGAAGTAACTCCAATACTGTGGAGCCACAGTCAGGATTGCAAAAAATTTAGTTGCTACTAATATGAAGGAGTAGAGGGCAAGGAAGAAAGAATAACCTACCAGCAAAACTGCATATAATCTTATAGGGAAAAATAAACGTTTAAAGATGTAGAGGACCTTCAAGCATTCTTGATGAAAAGACCAGAGCTAAATAGATAATCTGACACTCAAACACAATACTAATGATAAGCATTAAAGGTAAAAATGAATAAGAAATCATAAGGGACTTAATAAGGTTAAACTATTTATAATCCTATATGGGGAAAATGATACATCTAAGCATTAAGAGCTTTATCATTATTAGGGCAGCTAGGTGGAATCTTTTTAGAGAGCATGATCGTGAGTCTATTACATTGGGATTATCTCAAAAGAAAAATGGAAGGATGAGAAAGACAGATGCACTGGGAGAAGGGAGTAGAAGAATAGGGAAAAATTATCTCACCAAAAAAAAAAGGAGTACAAGGGATGATTTTTAAAACAGAGGAATAAATGGGGGAGGTGGAAAATGCTTGAAGCCCACTATTTTGAAACTGATTCAGAGACAGAAGAAAACACACATCTAGGTACATACATACATACATACATACGTCCATACACACATATATTTACACATACACACACACTTGGTAATAGAAATTCATCTTACTCAATGGGGAAATAGAAGGGGAAAAATCTAAGAGAAAGGAGAGTAATGATGGGAGCCAGTAGTCAGAAGCAAAACAGACTCTTGTGGAGGGGATTGGGTAAAAAAAGAGAAGGATAAAAAAAGTGAATAGTCTAGAGGGAAATACACAGTAATCATAATTGTGAATGTGAATGGGACGAACTCAGTGATAAAAGGCAAGTGGATAGCAAAATGGATTAGAAACCAGAATTCAAAATGTGTTGTTTACAAGAAACACATTTGAAACAGAAAGATACAGAGTTAAAATGAGGGGCCAGAGCACAATCCTTCAGCTGAAGTAAAAAAAGGCGGGGTTAGCAATCATGATCTCAGGTGAAGCAAAAGCAAAAAGAAACCTAATTTAAAGAGAAACTACATTTTTCTAAAAGGTACCATGGACAATGAATTAATATCAAACATACTTGCACCAAATTCTTGAAGGAACAGCTAAGTCAGTTACAGGAGGAAATGCTTAGTAAAACTATATTAGTGGGGACCTTTTAGACTTAGATAAAACAGAGCAAAAAAAAACCCAACAACAGCAAAAAAGAAGTTAAGGAGATGAATAGAATTTTAGAAAAGTTAGATATGATAGACCTCTGGAGAATACTGAATAGAAACAGAAAAGTGTTTACCTTTTTTGAGCCATACACGGCACCTTCAAAAAATCTGACCATATATTAGGGCATAAAAACCTCACAAACAAATTCAGAAAAGCAGAAATATTAAATGTACCCTTTTCAGATGATAATGCAATAAAATAATGTTTAGTAATTTGAAACAGATTAAAATTAATTAGAAATAAAATTTTCTTTAGGATTACTAAAGAATGAATTGGTCAAAGAACAATAATTTTATTAAAGGTACTGATAACAACGAGACAACATACCAAAATCTGTGGGATGCAGCCAAAGAGATACTTAGGGGAAAATTTACATCTCTAAATACATCAGTAAAAGAGAGAAAGAGCAGATCAGTGAATTGGGTAGACAACTAAAAATGGAAAAGGAAGCAATTAAAAGTACTGAAGTAGAAATACAAATCCCAAAGTTGAGATACTGAAAAAATCAAAGGGCAGATTAACAAAATTGAAAGTTAAAAACCCCATTAATTGATAAATAAAATCAGGAGCTGGTTTTATGAAAGAAAAAAAAATAAAAAGAATTGCCTAATTTGATGTTAAAAAGAAGAAAAATAAACTTTTATTGATGAATTTTGCTCTTCATATAATTTCTGTAGTATCATTTCTTTTCCTCCTTCTTCTAAGAACTATCTAAAATAGCAAATAGCATTTTTAGCAAAAAAAGTTTAAAAAGCAGTATAATTGTTCAATACATCAAAAAAGTCTAAAAATATGTGCAATGTACAATTATATATTTTCTGCCTTCACAAAGGAATAGGGTAGGAAGGTCTTTTTCTATCTCTTCTTTTATGTCATTGCTTATTCTTTATAATTTTGCAACATTTATTTTGATTTTTGTGTTCTTTCCATTTACATTTTTGAAGTCATTTTAATATGTTTTCTTGGCTCATCTTACTACACTCTGCATTGGTTCATGTAGAACTTTCTACACTTCTCTGAATTTATCACATTTATCATTCTAATAATAATGATATTCCATTATGTTCATGTACCACAACTTCAAACAGTAACATATTTCCTAAATAGCAGTTACTTGTCTCTTTGCTTCTTGATAGATCTTTATGCACCAAGATGCCCTCTGTGGTCAAGATTTTTATATCTAAGTCTAATGAATGGTTATCTGACTCATGACATCAAGTAAAGTTTACAAAATAAAGTTCAAGCCCTTTGTTTTTCATTCATGACCTTTGTAATCAGAGGAGACGCTATTTTTCAAAGTCTATATCCTAGTTTTTCCCTATAGGCATTGTCCACAAACATAATAGAATGTTATTATTCCATAAGAAATGATGACATAATAATTCCCATAACTGAATAAAGTTTTCTCACAAGACAAAAATTGGACTAGACCCATATTTGAATAGAAAGAATTGAATAGGTAGAATTAGAATTGAGTTACAAGGTGGAGTCTATGTGGTTCACTCAATTCCCTGATTAAGCATTAGAAATCACTGAAAAATTATGGGTTGCTGAGGTTTTTGTGGGTGGGAATATTTTGGCCTGTATTTTTGTGATGAAAATAAACAGTGTCATTTGCATTCCCCCTGCCTAGAGCTCTTCAAGAGGAGGAGAGATGACCAATTGTTGGCCATCTTGTATAGAAGATTTATGTTTCAGTGATTCTCTGAGCTGTAGTAACCTTATTTAGCTGCTATTCTTGGAGCTCTGATCCACCTTCTGAGAAAGCTCTTTGTGGACAAAGAACACCTATCAGGGTGGATTATATTCTTTGAGGCTTCAGGTATCAGGACCTCAGTACTCACCTTCTGTTACAGCTCTGTTTCTCAACACACTCTTATCCTGGAGCCCCTGAGCTACTAAAGAGAAAAAGAATGCAGCCAAGAGGCGAGGACCCCAGTCTAACTCCTGCAAATTCCATTAATCTTAGAAACTTCAGTACTGAGATTGTAATTCAAACTGATGTCATAAATTATAGATTATGAATTGATAAAATTCTACCTCTAGTATTCCCCTCCACCTTTCAAGAAGTAACTAGGACCTACAGACCCTGTTTAAATTTTTCTCTGCTTTCATTCTCTGAACAAAATAAAATTTGATCCCCTACTTCTCTGTGAAAAATGACTGGCTCTAGTGATAAGGAGGCCATGATGATTCTCCCAGGTCTTATTCCCAGTTCATAATGTGACCCGGGCTGGGCCCTTCAGGTACGCCTCCTCCCCTGGGAGCTGGGCTTCGGACGTCTCCGGACCCACCCTGGGGGAAGGGTGGGCTCAAGGACCAGACAGTACGCGAGTGTGGTGTATGCTCTTTATTGTGGAGGATTCCCCCCGATCCTTTGTTCTCAGCCCGTTATATACACTTCAAGGACCCTCCTCCCGAGCCTCGTAAGACTCTGCGCCCCTCCCCTGTTCTACCCTAGAGGCGGAGCCTCCTTGTAACCGTCATCTGAGGCGGTCGGGTCTTCCACGCCCTTCCTAGGAAGCCAGGGTCCAGGACGCCCCTGTCAATTCCCCCTTTTTGTTTAAACAAAGACAGGGTTTTTCTTAGGGAGGGAGAGGTCGGCTTTGACGTTCTCAAGAGAGCGTCGCAGCACACGGAGCCAACAAAAGAAAAGGCAAGGGGCCATAAAGCAGATAAGGATCAGGAAGCCTGCACCATAAATGAGCCAAAGAAGGAATTGCGAAGATCCCAGGTTATGTAACCAGTTGAAAAATTGATCGAAAGGGGAATCAGGGAAGAGATTATCCCTTGTTTGACGGGTGACATTGCGAATATGCTCCAAAATAGTGTCCAATTGACCAAGGCAATCTTCTATTTGCTCAAAGTCAGTCAAGTTCTTAATCAAAGAATCAATGGCAAGAACGCCCTGCTGAAAATAACAAGTCCCACCACCAGTTCCGAAGAGTGCTGTTGTCAGATAGAGGTGCACTGTTATCTGTGAAGTGGATCAAGGGGCCAAAGGCAGCAGCCAGTTTCCACAGATGTACATGGGCTATAACTCCTCGAGGGCTTCTCACATGGGGTACCGGGGCCGCAAACCAAGGACCCGGTTGTCCATCCAGAAAGTAGAGTTGAGTCCCATTCACGTTTTCGCCACCTACTTGATGCCCTGTAGAACAGACTTGGAAGCCTGCAAACATGTTAGGGGAAGGGGTGCAAAGAGGGAGTGGAGAGGGAAAAAACCCGCTAATAGTACTATGCTGATGTTGCAATACATAAAAGTGTAAATGATCCCCTTTCCCTATCCAACCGTGGGGTCCATGCGGTAACTCAGTGATAGTATCATTTTCTACTCGAGCACAACCGGCATGGGTACCTTTGCTGAGGCAAATGGGTAGTGTGGGACTCCTCATAATAATGGTCTTATTTTGAAGATGGGAAATAACTGGCCGTCCCACCCCTTCGCCCATAAGAAGTGATGCATTGGAAACTACAATTAGGGGAACAGGATCCCCATTCCAAGTAACTGGACGTGGTTGGGGGAAGTGTCGTACTAGTGCCCAATAGGTATACTCCTGGTTAAGATTATTCCAGGGCTTAGCAGTGTGATTTAGCTGTGCAACCAGGTGTTTCGCCAAACGCCCTTCGGCGCCAACGGGTAATCCCCACCCAAGGCCAAGACTAAGAAAGGCTAAAGAAAAAACACAGTGAGAGATCCGCTTCTTATTCTCCCTCTTCAGCCTTCTGGGTTGACATCCGCGGCGTCCTCGCTTCCGCCACCTTCTCGGCATCCGCTCCTGTCGCCAGTTCTCGAACCCAGCGGACGGGAACCCAGCGACCTTCTCCATTCTGTGGAGACACAAATAGATAACCCTTCCCCCGGATGGTTACCCTATCTGGACCATGCCACACACCCTCAGGGTCTCTCCACATAACAGAAGCGCCTTGCTCCAGCAGCTCCTGCCGTGGGGTCAAAGACGGTGCGTGCCCACCGGTATCACATGGGCGAAAAAATCTCTCAGCTCGGGTTAGGCCATCATCAGTCACTTGTAGGAAATTTAAAGTGAATAAAACCTGATCAAGGAGGGCCTTGGTAAGTCTGCCTGGGACTCCCCCTTTCTGTTTAACAAGAAGCTGCTTCAAAGTTTGGTGGGCTCGTTCAACAATGGCCTGTCCGGTGGGATTATGGGGAATGCCAGTCACGTGCCGTATGCCGAATTCGGCAAGGAAAGTCGCGAGAGAGCGCGAGCGATAAGCGGGGCCATTGTCCGTTTTAATTGTGTGGGGGAGACCGGCTATGGAAAAACAATATAGTAGATGAGCACGAACACTTGAGACATTTTCACGAGGTTGAATGGAGGCCATAAGGAAGCCGGAATAAGTGTCTATAGACACATGAATAAGGGTAGTTTGAAAATGGGTCACATCCATTTGCCACAAGGCATTAGGTGCTTGACCACGGGGATTGTAAGTCGGTATAGAGGGTGGTGGTCGAAAAGGAACACAATTAGGGCAAGCTCTCACGATTTGTCTGGCTTGCTCTCTGGGAATGCCAAACATTGTTCTTAAAGTACGAGCAGAAAGGTGTAATTTCTGATGAGCCGTGTAGGGTGTCATAAAGAATACATCAGTAGGGGCTTGTTGTAAAGCCGCATCCGCTACGGCATTGCCCTGATATAAAGGCCCATATGGGCCTATATGAGAGCGGACATGAAGTATATAAATCGGTGTAGTTCGGCTCAGCAGATGTTGCTGCAGTCGTTGAAAGAGTGGAAGGACGGACGAAGGTGACCGTGTCAAGGCAGCATCTGGTAAATGCTGGAATGCATGATAACAGTACATACTATCTGTGATAAGATTAAAAGATTCTGTTGCTAAGAATTCACAAGCGCTGATAATGGCTGCTAATTCATTCTGCTGAGCAGAATTGTAGGGGGTAGCATACACTTGTAAAACCTGTCTTTCTGGGATATAAAAGGCTGCTTTTAGGTGTTTTGTGGCGTCTGTAAACACATTTGGTCCCTGCACTGGTTCTGCAGCAATTATAGTGCTAGGACGTTGAAGGGGAACCGCTTGCCACAAACGTAAAGCTGGGGGTAACGTTAACGGTAGAATGGTGTGGGCAACAAGTAAGACCGCCCAAGCTTCGCTAGTCAAAGCGAGCTCCTGTAGCACCTGAGGGGTTATATTAAGAGTTATAAGAGGTTCCTTACCGCTAATTCTTCGTGCCGTGGCACTTGCTTTTAGCAGTAAGCGAGCTTGAGTTTCTATTCTATTAGGGAGTGCTTTCTTATCTCTGTCTGGATAGACCCACATAAGCGGACCGTGCTGTTGGTAGATTACTGCCAACATGCCTTTATGTTCATCTTGTAAGAGAGTGAGGTAGAGAGGACTTTGCAAATCCCTACGTTGTAACTGCTGTTTACACTGCTGCTGAATATATTGAATTGCTTCAAGGGCGCTCGTGGTCCATTGTCTGGGAGAAGTTAAAGCAGAGGGCCCTTTAAGGCAATCATAAAGTGGCTGCATTATAGTATCTGAGATAGGAATCACTCCTCTAAGCCACTGTATAGCACCAATTAATCTTTGAAAATCATTGAGTGTCTTTACTTTGGAGGTATCTATTTGAGGCCATGGACGATAAATGGCAGTCTCAGTCACTTGGTGGCCTAGGTATGAGACTGGATCGCCCTTTTGTATTTTCTCAGGAGCCACTTCTAAACCTGCTCGTTCTAGCATTCTTAGGCATTGCTGTAATATAACCTCCGTTTCCTGAGTATTGGGGCTGGCTAACAAGATATCATCCATATAATGGATGATCATTGCTTTTGGATAGGCCTCCCGGAGGGGCTGGAGAACGGCTTGTACAAAAGCCTGACACATGGTTGGACTGTTAATCATCCCCTGAGGGAGGACAGTAAACTCAAAACGGCGATAAGGCTCTTGAAAATTCGGAGATGGAATAGAGAAGGCAAATTTTTCTGTATCCTTCTCTGCCAAGGGAATGCTGTAAAAGCAATCTTTTATATCTAATACTGCAATGGCCCAATGTCGGGGAATCATACTAGGTGTGGGGAGCCCAGGTTGTAAGGCACCAAATGGGTATAAGGCCTCATTAACAGCCCTGAGATCAATGAGCATCCTCCACCTTCCTGATTTTTTCTTAATAACAAACACAGGTGAATTGTAGGGACTCTGTGAGGGCTGTACGTGCTTGGCCTGTAGTAGACCATTTACTATATTATTTAGGGCTTCAATCTTCTCTATAGTTAGTGGCCACTGGTCTATCCAAATTGGTGTTTCATGTTTCCACTTAAGGGGAATGGGTTGTGGCCCCCCAGTGGCCCACATTAGTTTAAAGGATCAGTAGTCAAAACAGCTCCCATTTGCTCCAAAATGTCACGCCCCCATAAAGCTATGGGCACTCCTATAAGGACATCAATGCATTCTTCCCATGTGGGGTCTGGTGGTAACTTTGACAACAACCCTCGTGACTGTTTAAGTCCTTCTTTGAAAAGCTGTATCAGCAGCTTTTGGGCAACATCTCCTGCTCCATATCTCTTTTCCACAACCTCTTGTGCTCGGGACGCAAATTCCATGGCACTTTCTTTTGGCCTTTGCACGAGTTTGTTTAAAGGAGGTTGTGATTTCTCCCCTAGTCTATCCAATGCTCTTAGCGCCACCATCTGGGCACCTTGTATAACAAGGTCTGGGAGTAAAAGCTGTGCCTGCAGCCCAGCATACTGGCCATACCCAGTTAGCATATTAATGGTATCTTCTACATTCTGAGGGAAATTAACCTCCGCCCAGGTCCTAGCCTCTCGGCGTCTGTACGCTGACCAGGCGGTGTAAGCAGCACTCTCTAATACAGCAGACATAATTTCATCCCAATCCCCTGGGGTCCAAGCGGCCACAGCCACAGTAGATTGCAACAGCTGCTTGACATAAGAAGAGCCTGCTCCATATAATTTAGCCGCCTCTTTTAAATCTTTCATGAACTTATAGGGCACTGGTCGGTGAGATCGACCACCTCCTCCGGCTCCTCCTTGGACAAAAATCGGGAATTCCTGTCCCCACTCTTTCCAGTCTACTACCTGCCCATCCCTAGCGGCCTCTCGCAATGAATGCTGTAAAAGTGAAGTCTGCGGGGTCTGTTCATTCTTCCCTCTTTTATCAAGCTGCATTTGGTTTATTTGGGTCTGTAGTTGCTGTATCTGCATTTCTAACTGCGCCACAGGTGGAACTTCCTCTTTCTGGAATTCTAACTGCGCCACAGGCGGAACTTCCTTTTTCTGCTGCCGACTTGGCACGTACGGGGGAGTGGCTCCGGGGGGAGTGGCTCCGGAGGGAGCGGCTCCAGACTCGGCCATGGTGCGGACGGGATTTCAGAGGGCTTAGGGGGCTCAGGCCATGGCTCTTCCTGACCCTCGAGGTCTTGTTCCCCTCCTAATAAGGATGTTCCTACCTGTGTCTCCTCCGCTACTATTACCGGCGGAGGGCGCGGAGAGAGGGGCAAAAGTCACAATGCCATAAAGAGTAAAATCCTCTGGTTTTAAGAACCCTGGTTCTGTCTCTGCGTAGGAAGACATCTGGCTCCCAACTATTTTCCATCTTTGATAATCAATCCCTTGGTTCTGTAACCATGGGGACACCACTATAAGTTTCTCTACCCACTCCTGACAGCGTCTCAGCTGTATTTTCACCCCATTGTCCCTACAAAGTTTATAAACTTGTAGGACTAGCACTCGCTTATCCTCCGGT